AGAGGAACACGAGGAGAAAGGAAAAGAGAGGGCAATCTCAGTTGAGGAAGAACAGTCAATAATAGGTAAGCGGAGACGGAAATCCTTTTCTTCTGGAACCAGTTATCACCTCAGAAACTCCAACGAACCCTGGAAAATGCCAAGGCCCATGCGGGGGATGATGAGTAGGACTGAAGGTCCGAAAGCAGGTCAGACATGACGGGCCAAGTTGGAATAAGATCCAACCGCTGGCGAGCGTAACCGGCTGAAAATAGGTGTCACGAATGTGATGGCCAGGTTGATCAGTTTAGACAACCATTGGCGGGTTTCTGGAAGAAACTGGTCCTAAAATAGGACAGGAGAAAAAAAAAAAAAAAAAAAAAAAAAAAACCCAAAATGGAAAACTCAGAAGACGCTTACAAAGTTTCCGAACATTGGCCCCCTTTTAAATCGCAGCAGAGGAAGACACAATGATGAAGATGCAGGCGCAAATCGACGAGCTCTACTCGAGAGGCGAGAACGCAAAGGGAGGTGCCCTCCTGGCGTTTTTCTGTGACACGTTCCTACGAGATGATCTACGAAGGGACCAAGGAAACAGGAGGTCAACATCTCGCCACCCCACACCAGGTCCAAGCAATCAGCATGACACCTCGCAGAGACAACAGGCAGACCAACCAGACACAATTGTCCCTTTACCTTCACCGTTCCTTGCCAGCGCTCCACCACCCCAAGCCCTATCAGCACCGCAACACGAACAACAAGCGCAAGCGAACAGAGTGCGCAGGGCCGACGCGCCTCAACAACAAACCGGACCTGAAGGTCAAGCGGGAGATAGGGGAGGTTGGAGCACGGTTCGCCGGAGCCCGAGACGGTTGATCGAAGAAGATCCATCAGAAGACTCACGGAGGAGCCCAAGACACCACTCTCCAAAACCGACTTCACCTAGAAGAGGACCACCGTACACCCGTCAGACTAGAACATCACCACCTGAGCCGGTTTTCTCGAATCGATACTCACCACTGCGAGACCTTGATCAAGTCGAGGAACAAAGAGACAGGAATCACACGATGACAGACCGAAGGCCAGAGCAACTAGCAACCCGGACGGAAACCGCTCAAGCAACAGGCGAAAAGTCAGAGGAAGAGCTTGCAAAAGTAATGCTGGACTCCGGGAAAGGGTGTATGGTCCTGTCGAACGGCGACGTAATCGAGAACGGTAGAAGAATTTTAAACGACGAGTCTGAGCAAATGGACAAAGTCTTAACACCGTTGTCACAAGTCTTGCAAGTATGGTTGAAGACCTTTAAAGCTTACATTCCGCTGACGGTTTTCAACAAAAGATGGCTGTTGGATGACCAACGGGAATGGGAAGTTAAGGACCCGCAGTCTGAAGCAAAAATCTTGAAAGGAGGGGCGGCAGTGAAGGCTTACGGTGGAAAACCACCTCCGAACAAACTCTTGATGCAATTCGAAGACTGGCTGGACAGCATGAAACTTTTCGTACGTTACGTCGAAGAAGCAGGTTGGGTAACGCAAGCAGCCCAGTTTAAAGCCCACATGGACATCGTGATGGAGTTGAGAGACAGTATCGGGTGGATGGTGGCATTACGATATTGCAGGAGGATTAGGCAAGGGGTTATGAGGGTAACGGTCGATCAGAAGATCTGCAACATCTCGAAAGTTCAAACGCGGGTCTTAGAAGAGGTAAAACTGGTATGCGATAATTATGGTGAAAGGGCTTACATGACGAACCCTTACGCCCCAGGAGGCCCAAAAGAACACCTAGACCCCGAAAGCGGACTCAACCGATCTTACACGTCTGCCAATCAGCAAGCAAAAAAGAGCAGTGTGACGGAGGCTGTGACATCTGATGCAGAACGGAAACCGAAGCGTAAATGGTTACCAGACGATGTGTGGGAAGCAAAGAAGAAAGCGGAGAGATCTGCGAGAGGTTTCTGTAAAGAGGATTGGAACAAGGCAGCGGGGAGGTACGCTGAGAGAGGAAGCTGGAAAGACGAGAAAAAGCGCGAGAGGAGCCGGAGTCGCAGCAGAGAGCGCGGGCAAGGCTACAAATATGGTGGAGGTAGAGGAGGAAAGGGCAGATACTAGTGAGTATCGTAGACGCAGTCTGGTCCCCTGTAAACTAAAGGGAAAGGTCCTATGAAATAAATGGAGTTGATATACCCAAAATGCTCACTAAGACCAATACGCCGAAATCGGCAAACAACCTGCCCCCCCCCCAATCTTTTCCAAAGTTCTGCACCAAGTGACGAGACCAAAAGATGCCCAAGAGTGAGAACGCGTTCCTGACTGTGCATCGATATTTTTTCTGTACCAAACCCCCCCATGTAGTGAAAACCTTGATGAAAACAAAATCAGTGAGAAGAAGAAGCGTGATCCTAGCAAGAGGGAGCGTCCGAAAGAGAGGTGGCCTCACAAAGTTAAGTGTGAAATGAACATTAGAAGGTGGGAAGTTGAACTTAGGAAAGCCGGCTTGATAAACAGACATTGGCACGTTTTGAAAGGTTTCCAGGAGGGTTTCGACCAAGGGATCCCTGAAGAGGCAATAGAGGGGATGAGGTTTTACTGCCCTCCAAACCATTCGTCAGCAGCCGAGGCAAAAGATGAAATAGAGAAGAGCCTAAGAGAAGAGATCAAGGCAGGGAGAATGTACGGTCCATTTTCGAAGGACGAGGCTTACAAAGTTCTGGGGTTCTTTAGAACCAGCCCGTTAGGAGCGGTAACAAACGGGGACGGGTCACTCCGGCCAATCAACGACCTCTCCTTTCCAAGGAAAGACTCATATATTAATTCTGTAAATGCGAGAGTTGACAAGGAAGATTTGGAAACGTCGTGGGACGATTTCGATTGTGTGGCGGCATTCTTCCTATCAACAAAAAGAGAATTATTGTTAGGAATTTTTGATTGGGCAAAAGCGTACAGGCAAATACCTACGCTGATGTCACAATGGCGGTTTTTAATGGTCCTGGACTTCAATGGAAACGTCATTTTAGACACTCGAGTGACTTTCGGAGGTGTCGCCGGATGTGGAACCTTCAGGACAGCAGCTGACGCGTGGAAGGAGGTAGTGCTTTCAAACTTTGGTTTTGACGCCGGATTCAGGTGGGTGGATGATACATTGTTCATAAAGAAAAACGACGGGACAAACAAAGCAACAATGGCAGACGTCGCAAGACTGAGTGGGGAAATGGGGGTGGTGACGAATACGAAAAAATGGAGAGAATTTGGGTTTGAACAAAAATATTTAGGTTTCCTGTGGGACGGGAAGAATAAAATGGTCAGCATCCCGGAAGAGAAAAGGAAGGAAAGACTGGAACAAATAAGGAAATTCTACTCATCTAAATCAGTTAGGTTCAAGGAAGTGGAAAAGTTAGCGGGGAGATTGGCACACGCGACACTTGTATACCCTCAGCTCAAATGCTATTGCATGGCGATGTACAGATGGATGGCGGAGTGGGTACATAAGTCAGCTCTGCGAGACATACCGGAGGAAGTGATGGAAGACTTACGGGTCTGGGAATCAACTTTAGTAGACGCGGAGCCGAGGCGGTTGATCCCGCATAAAGGTACAAGGAACGTAGCGTGGGTTGGAGATGCGTCCACTTCGTACGGTATTGGAATCGTAATAGGCAAAAAATGGGCGAGGTTTCGCCTAAAGACCGGGTGGGATAGCATTAATGAAGACGGATCTCGACGAGAGATCGTGTGGGCAGAAACCGTTGCTGCGAGATTGGGTTTGCTGATGCTGGAAAGGTTAGTCGACGTAAGAGGCTATGAATTTCTGATGCTGACGGACAACGTGGTGACGGAATCAGCCATAAGAAACGGGAAGTCGAGAAATCCTCTGGTAAACAAAGAATGGATGATTATCCAGAAGGAACTGATGCGGATGGACTGCAGGATAAAACAAAAACGGGTAGTCTCAGAAGACAACGCCGGAGACAAATTGTCAAGAGGAAAGGAGACAGGGTATGGGTGGAAATGCCTAAGGACCTGAGAAACTTACTTGAACAGGAATGAAATGACATTTGAAATGAAGTTGATGACACGAAACGTTTTTTCTTGAGTTTCAAGAGGCCCCCCCCCAAGCCCCTTCTCTGTCTGTTCGGGTTAAGATCTGCGACACGTGAGACGCAGACGCCCGCACCGGGAAGAGAAATTGAGAGTGAGTAATCGAGAGAGAGCCGACCAGACACATAACAAGAACACACCTTCCTTCACAAATCGCCATAGCACATCGATGAGTCGGCTCCCAAGACATTTCGAGAACGCGAAAGACAGCACGACGCACGCAGGCAGACATGCAGCCTTGAGTGGTTGGGCAGGTTTGACGTTAAGCGGTTACTCAAGCGGCATGTCTAAATTCATAGAGTTCAAAATTAAGTCAGCAGGCGCCTTCAATGAGGAGCAACCAATAAGTGATGAAGATATCTATGAATTCGTCGCGTGGGCAGGTGAATCCAAAGCGTCAAAAATAAACGGACCGGAAAAGACGATCGCAGCGGTAACCATCAAGAAGTACTTAGATGGCATCCAAGCGTGGCATATAGTCAAACACTTGTCAAAGCCTTCGGCGGACAAAGAAGTTGTATTGACTTTGCTGCAAGCAACGAAACGTAACGAGGAGGCGAGGGAGCTGGTGACGTTAAAAAGACCGGTCATGATTAGGCAATTGTTCAAGTTATTCCGCGAAGCAGTAGGAAAGACGGACGAAAAAGACCTGGTGGCATCGATTGCCGTAATCGCCTTCTGGGGGATGGCCCGGTTGGGAGAGCTGCTAAGGCAATCGGCAGGAGAGGGGGCGATCTTGAGGCAACATGTAGAATTTGGGGAGAAGGCAGGAACCCGATTCGCGAAAATCTATTTAAGGAAGGCGAAAACGGCAGCACCCGGGGAAATTCAAATCATACGACTTCAGCAACAGAAGAACATATTAGACCCGGTAATGGCTTTAGAGAGAGTGATGATGCTTAACAAAGACGGAGATAGAGACGATTTGTTATTCGCGACGAAAAGCCCCAACGGCCTCCAAGCAATGAAAAAAGCACGATTCATAAAGCTAGTGGAGGAATGCTGGGGGAAGTCCGGAGTAGAAAGGTGGTCAGGACACTCCTTTAGAGTAGGAGGTGCGTCGATAAGATACAATCTGGGAACGCCGGTCAAGACAATAGCGAAGCAGGGAAGGTGGAAGTCCTTGGCGTATCTGCGATATTTCAAAGCTTACTCAGAGGAGGAGGTCAGAGACACCATAAATTTCCTGGAGGCAATAGAAGAAACAGAAACATAGTATCAAGCGAGATACAGAATTAGAGTTCGGAAAGGATCGACAGGAGGCTACATTGAATTAAACTTTAAAATTGCATTGAAGCGTGGCGAGTGGGAATACACATTAAACGGTTTTAAAGAGCCCCAAAAACGTATGCACATAGGTTGAACCATGGGAAGTGAAGCTTCTCGGTGGTAAGGGATAGCTCCTGAAAGGCTAGGCACCGGAAGACTGAGGTACCAAGTAAGAGGGGTTCCAGGAGCAGAAAGAACACACCTCAAACCAGGAGGGCGGGGGGGTGAGAAGGTGGGAGCCTGGCTAGGAGAGTCTCGTGGTTCCGACAAACCAATTGGTTTGGCAGAACCAACCAGAGACGGCCGGGCTCCGCCGCTACCGCATACGAACATGATCTGACTGGAAACCCTAGTAAGACATGTTCCGGGCCTGGGATAAATTCTAAAAGAATTAACTCAAGGGTAAATGACCCTTGAGTAATAGGAGAGACATCTCTCCGAACAACAGTTCTCACGACTATGAACACAACGCACAACTAACTGAGGAATGGGATAGTGATGTATTGAACTGAGGTTTTGGACTTGTACCCTAAGTGAAATGGCTGAGAGAGTAGTTTTGTCCAGTTTTGTTCAAATTCATGGTTCTCTCTTAATATGTATGATGATTGTGTGAATATGATGTTGAACCTCACCTATGTGGAACTAAATCCGCATAAGTCATCAAAACCTTATATACTTGTACCATCAGTGTGTGTGTCAAGTGATAGCATCATCCTGGCATACTTTTTTTGAAGATTTACGCCCAATACTTCACCAGATTTTTATTTCCATTCAAGACATATCCTACATCATCTCAGGTTGGGGTCATGATACTTACATCAATTATGAATAGTAAATTGTGATATAGCACCATCAAATGTAGTTTCTGACAAAATGGGTAACACAGTTTGGGTAGACTTTGGTACAGCCTTGAGTCAATCAGTTAAAACTGTGAATAAAATATGTTTCTCTGAGGTGAAAAATGATTGAATTTGATTTACAAAATGATTGAAAGTGCATTAAACTGCATTGTTCTGCATTTAATCTACATTATTGATCATTTTTTGCATTAAATTCAATCATGTTTCATCTTGCAGAAACACATTATATTTGCAGTGTAATAAAGATTCAGTAAAAGATGGATCAGGATTTGAATTAGTTATGATGCCTTCTCCCAAAGTTTATTGGGTTTTAATAGGGTGAAAACAAAAGGCAAAAAAACACAGAGAGTATGATGCACAGTGCCTGTGGAGAGGTCCCACAATGTTGGGGGCTCCAGAAAGTACAAAGGCTTGCCTTTGTACTCTCAAAGGCCTCCACCATTGGGGGCACTGTTCACGGGCACTGTTATGGCACCATTTTGTCATGTCTTTGAAGGATGATG